CACTCCGTTAACTAGCTGAAATAACGTGTCCACTGAAATTCTTGCCTGCTTTCTCTTCAGCTTCCTACAGAGAGTAGAGCAGAATGAATCAGCGGAAAAGCTGATTTTCAACTTGATGTGCTTTGAATTCTGGCGGAAGTCCTGGTGGGTGTTTTGCTCAATCCCAGTGGATTTCAACTTCTGTATTAGTTACCCCAAGTGCAGGCACTGTCAAAGGAATTCACTGGCCCAGGATATTTGAATTAATCATATACTTCATAGTCTCTTGGAGAGGATCACATATTCTGAACACTACTCCCCAACCCCCAAGACTTTAAAGCACTGCTCAGCAGTCAGGACTCAACATAAGATTTAAAAATACACCTTGGTCACAATGAATAATAATAATTTGTACATGAAAACTGAATCAAATTGAATTAGGATTTTCTGTCAGCCTTTTCATTAGCTCTTTACAAAGAATGTGTACTCTTTAGGGATAAACATAAATCCAAGAGTTAAAATTGGCCTTGAGTTGGGTAGGTTCTTTCTTTCTGCTTTTCCTCTCCTTAGACCTAGGAAGACTGAAGCAAGTTTCATGGAAAGTGAATGCACTAGGCTGAGTCTCAAGTGAGGAGAAGGGCCTGCTTATGTCTGCCTGTGCATTGTCGTTGGTCATCAGCAACAGGGCTTGTGCCTCTGTTTATAGCACCAGAGCTCAACTGTGCATCAGACAGAAAGGGCAAGGTGCTTTCTTCACCATCTGACTCCTGGCCAGCAATACACCAGTAATACCTTCAACTCACTTAAATGAATCTCTACTTTTGTGCCTTTCTGCATGTGGCCAGTTCACCCAGGGGCCTGCATGAGCCATCTGGGCTAGGTCTACTAATGAGTCCACAATGCAGATTCAACATTATTTTGGTGGCCTTCTGATAGAAGGATTAACTTAAAAATTCTGAGCTATGATTTTCAATTCCAAGGAGCATACTGTTTGCTTTCTCAGCTCAACTGATGGTTCCAGCAGGCACTTATCCATGCACCAAAGGCAGGGACAATATATTGCAGCCAATCAGGCTCCTATTCTCTGCCTGTGCAAGTGGCGTCACCTCTCAGGATTTATTTCCTCTTGGTACTTTGGTCCAATCTTGTACTGCCTGCTTGGCTTAGCTGAATTTCTCCCTGCCCTAGTTTTGCTCCTTTTTGAGGACAAGAGGCTGTGGTTGCTCTTCAGAGGTCCTCACCAAAACTGGCTGGCCGAGACAGCTGCCAGAGTGACCTCAAGACAACATCTACCTTCATTATGATTCCACCTGCATGCACACCCCAGCACTGTGACAATCGAAATTGCCTTGATGCTGACAGAGAAACATAAAAGATGTAGAATCAGAATTCTTAGAAAATCTTCATCCATTCCCAGAGAAGACATAAATATTCCTCCTCTTCTCTAGTCTGTCCCTTCTCATTTCTTTTACCCTATATGTACAACCTCCCAAACCTCAATGGGTTGAGAAGTTCATTTGTGAGTTTTATCTCTAACTTCTCTTATTCTTGACCAAAAGTAAAAAGTCTCCTTTCCTATATAATCAGTGCTTGGTCTTGTTATTGATCCCACAATTCTGAGAAGAGGAAAGGACCCACTTTTAGATCAGCAATTGACAACTTCCTTTGCAAACTGGATAGAACAGCACTTTTCTGGGTGAGATGACAAAGCTTGCATTTAAAGTGGTCAGTGGTTCCCTGGGAGATATTTTGCTATTATGATTTGCTGACCAGTTGGCCAACATTCAGATAGGTACATTCTTGATAATCCTATGCCACTTAGTTCTTAAGGTTAAAGGGTAGGACATACTCTCAACTTGCAGGATGGGACATAGTTGGAACAGACCCAAGGTTCCGTGGAGAAGACAGTGTCCCTTCCACCCAGCCTGGGAGAGAAATGTCTACTGTCACTAGTGGATTGGATGTCTGCCTTCCCTAGAAAAGACCTAACTTGGTTGGCTTGTCATCCAGACAGACAACATCCCCCTGAGCAGACCACACTTCTAACCCAAACAGTAATCCCTGGCCCAATAGAGCTCTTCCTTGGCCTGTTTCAGCCACCTGAAGCTCCCGACTTTCATCCAAAAGAGTCACTGACAGCTGTATCTGAAACCACACAGGGTTGAAAGGGCTGATGGACAGGTGCTTGGGGAGAACCAAGCACCGCAGCACAGGAGCAAAGTGGATGCCTTGCTTTGCTATGAAATTTCTGCATCAGAGTCTCACCCTGGGAATCCTTCCTTTAGTGGGCTACTCATTTCTCTGTGTTATTAAAATCATCTTAAAATGCACATACTATGCTTTCCAGTTTACTTTCTTTTCTTCCTCAGGTTAAATTATGACTCTATAATTAGCTCATGGTTGTCTTTAAAATAGTCCTTAGGGAAATTTTGCTGCTATCACTTTCTGTGAAATAGTTTTATTTTTCAAGAGAACGTATCTCTCAATGCTCTATCTCCCTCTAAGATAATCCATGTAATATGTCAAGGTTTTATTTAGCTCTATACAGGGACCAAGTTTTAGCTGAGTGAACAGAATGAATGACCAAATGCCAACTAGAAAAATACAAAGCTAAGCTCATTTTTAACAAACATACAGGTTGTAATAAATACATCTGGCATGGCATTCCTGTACAACATTATTCCTAAATTTGCTTCAGATTTTCTCCATTTTGATGGGACATTTTACCCTCAAATGATGTCAGTTTATTTCCACTTGATAACATACCAGAGGTCACCACACAGTTAAGAGGTTTTCTATTACACTTCAGCAATACTAATATGGAATGCCAAGGTGACAAAGAAGCTTAATTATGGGCACAGTCACAAAGGCTGTATATGAGGTATATGAAGATACAAGTAACTAGAAACACACTTGCAGGTTTAATATCCAAAGTGTACCAAGTGAGATTCCACAGCAACCCTATTACAAGGAAGAAACCAAAGGAGAGCAACAAGACCCCAAGACAAGTGTCAGGAGCCCATGGTGCCACCAGCTCAATTCCCCTTCTTCCTAGCTCTCATTCTACCCTCCAGGAGAAAACAAACCAAGAGCCCTATGAAGCCTTCTGGGAGGACTACCAGAGGATGGAGTCCCTACATCTTAAATATCTCTGTTAGCTTCCACCTGGCTCTTAAAGACCCCATCAACTCAATACAGCCATTGAAGACCAAGCTTCCAACACAGGAACACTTGGAGGACACACTGAAACCATAGCCCCAACCCAACTTGGGCTAATGGCCTCTCCCGTACTTCTTATACATGTCTCCTCCACTGGCTCCCACAGCACCAAACCCACGCCTGAGTTGGTGTGTACACCTTCCTTCCATTCATTCTTTCCCATCTATCTCGCCTGGTAAAACACCACAACTTTAGAGAAGCAACTTTCCCACCCTAAAAAAAACTTTTACACATCTGCTTTTCTGGGCTCTGCTCAGGAAATTCCAGTCTCTGCTTTGGTCTGCAATTCTTAAAATCTTAACCACTGCAGAACTCACACGTCCTCTTCATATCATGGCCATCTCAGGCCAAAATAGCTTCTCCATCATTCTGGCCCCATTGTGAGCTCTGTTGCAAATTTTGCATGCCTCACTGATTCGAAGCTCACACAGGAGAATGTGCAGATTCTAACAGAAGATGACAACTCTCTCTCCAAATCCTTGCAAATAGCCTTGTTCCTGCCAACATAGGCACACAAGTGCACTGTGCAGGAGTCAAGACAGTTAATAGCTGCATAATAAAACAAATAATATAGACTTAAAATTATAAAAATCTATTCTCCTTTGGTTTCTGAAATACATAATTGTTATAAAACATACATTTATAAATAATCATTTACAAATAATAAGTGAATTACAGCACAAATTACTTATCAAATCATTCTAATAATTTTCAAGTCATAGACAAACATTTAAATATTTTTGGCAAGTCTTTTTGCTTGACTTATCTGCTTCTACAAGATGCTTTTAAGTGAGTCATTATTTGACATTGGCAGCCCCCTTAAATTTGTTTGAACATTTTCCCTGTCCATTACATGATTAGTGACTTTAATCTGGATAGAGAATTGCTCATGACATTACTGATGCAGAAACCTATGTGAGCTTTTGATGTACTAACATCAATTACATGTAGGTGTTTCAGCCCTAATCATATGATTGATATTTTTATATACCCAGTATCTCTATCACTAAACTGTATCATGAAGAGTAGTTATTGAATTGACATAAGTAGCTAGCTAGATTTATCTATAGATCTCCACAAATGTTATATGACCCAGTTTCAGAATTTCTTTACTTTCTCTTCAATGCAAAAATGAATTTTCAGATAATTTCAGACAGGTTGATAGTTTTTTCCCTACTATGACTACTTAATGTTTTTGCTTCAAATTTTAAATCCTGTTTATTTACCCAAATACTACCTTATACTTTTCCATCATGGTTTTACTTATGTTACATATGTCTGTTTATTCAAGAAATATATTTTGATTAATGATCCATCAGGTATAAGGTGCCTTTCTACTTACATCATTCATTAGACTCCAAGACAATAAAAATTTCTGCTTTCTATAGGTTTGGAATATAGAGGGAAAAAATAAATAATAAAAACACAAAAGGAAAGCATATATGATTTAAAGGTGACAAGATCTACTGAAAAAGAACTACACTAGGGAATGGGGTAGAGTAGCCAGGGAAGGTCTTACAAGAATGAGCACACGTTTAAAATGGTCTTTGCCTTCTCTTTTTAACAATGAAAGCATGTTTCTTCTCAGACTCAGGAAAGTCCCCATCACTGTTAGAGGGCAGTGTTTATTGAACCCAGTCCTCCATGATTCAGCACTGTCATTTTGCCCATTTTGTTAGGAATATACAATTCTCCATATACTTGATAAAATGTTACTACAGCTCTGATTGAACATGGTGTTATTAGGATCTGTGTTTGTTACTTTTCTCTCATTGCTGAGACTAAATACCCAGCACTCCAAATGAAGGTAGGAAAGGTTTATTTAGCTTACAATTTGTGGAGGTTTCAGTCCATAACCAAAGGCTCCAAGGCAGGTTGGCATAGCCAAGGAACATTTCAAAACAGCAGCCAGCAAAAGCATCCAGAGCAATAGGGGGAGGAGTATAAGTCTCTTTTCCTTTTTATATTAAACACAGCCCCCCAACCCAGAGAAGCTGTAGCATTCACAAAATCTCTGTGCTCTCCTCTTGCACAGGATAAGGATATTTACAAAATAAGGATCTTGACTTCCTGCTGAATGTATTAGTTAAACCTCTACACTTCTCAAGTTGACATAATGTGTCAACCATAACAGGATCCAAACATTCTTCAGTTTTATTTATTTTCATTCTAGCTCTTCAAACATAGTAGTTAATTCTCTCCACTGATTACTTGTTGTGTAATTTAAACATAAGGCTTACTGGGGAAAGAAACAAGGTTCATTGATTTACAAACATTTTTGCAGCATCCAAATAGAACTCAATGTGTCATTTTTGACCATCTAAGTTAAACCATCTGGAAGTTTTTTATAAATGACATGCTCTCTCCTTAGACCTATACTGATACTGTTTACCATGTACCTAATGTGTTTCGTGCAGAAAGAGTTCTCATTAAAGTCATTTTCTCAAGCACAAAAAGTAATGATTGATATGAAGTTATATCCAAAATCAACAAAGTCTTGAGTTTTGCACTTCTGTTATTCCAGTAGTCTTATGTGACAGAGATAAAGCTTAATAATAATGGTTGAACTTAACTACTTTGGTTTGTAGTTTTTCAAAAATTGTATTCATACTTCAGCAGTGCCTGTCTTCAACAAGTAGGGTTTAACAACATCTGAGACACAATGGTGCACCTATGTCCCTCTGAGGTGGCCTTTGAAGTCTGGTGAATAAATATTTCTTTGTAAAATGTCCAATTACTTTCAACCATGGAGTAGGTGGTGTTAAAGAATATGATAATCTCTAAATATCTTTCATCGCTTTCCCAATGCCTAAAACATTTTTCATAATTTTTTGTTTTAAATGGTTATGATATTGAATTGTGATACTTCTTCCTCAATAATTACAAATTTTCTTAATATAAAACTATGAGTATTTAGCAGAACATGATTTTTTGTACTAAACTGTATATTTTTAACATTTAAATTTATTAAATTTAGCACTCTTACATCTAACATTTATGGCAATATTAATAAGTTGCTCATTCCTTGTTGAAATGTTCAAATTGGTTTACTTTCAGCCACACAATCTCTTTTTTACTCACAATACCAACTCTGTTCCTGGCTGGTCTGGCCTTTTGCACAGTGCCAGGAGAAGTTCTGGCTGTAGATCTTTCTTACCTTATTTTCTCTCTGCTCTTCTGAAGATTCAGAAGATGCATGTTTATGAAATATAAAAGGAGCACTAAGACATTTATCCAGAGTGGTGCTTGTTTATAATAGTCTATTTTAAATTCTGTAGCTATTGTTTACCCAAGATATACAAGCACTATAGCAATGAAACTGGAAGGTTCTCTAAAAGCAGAAAAATAGATGATACCCTGTTATCTACAGCAGCTGCAGTGGTCTATAACAATTAGCATGACTTTGTGAGTTTACTTCAGAATCTACATGATTACAAGAATATTTTCCATTATCACAGCAGTTACTATACTACTTAGCAGTCACTAAGGAAAAAGGATGTGTGGGCTCACTCATGAATGCTGGATTAAATTGGAGTTAAATTTTCATCCAAGGATCTCCTCTTTTATGTGCAGATAATTTTTGAGCATTTTTATTGTGATATCATTAATGGCCATAAACTTATCCTTTTAAAGTCAATGGTATTTAGCCTATTCACCTGTCACCACCACTTCATGTTCAGTATTCCAAAAGAAACCAAACCTCACGCTCATCTGCAGTCATTCTCATCCTCCAGCCCCAGTCAGCCACTCATCCACTTTCTGCCTTCATAGCATTGCCTGTTCTCGACCTTCATGCAAGTGGAATTGTATAATACATGACTTTTGCGTATAGTTTCTTTTACTAAGCGTGTTTCCAATCTTCACTCCAGCTGTAGCATGTGCTTGCACTTCATTCTGCATCCCAGTCTTTTTAAGAGCAGTTTTAGGTTTCCTGTAAAACTGAGCAGAAGGTTCAGTGATTTTCCACAAACTCTCTGCCCCCATATGTAGCTCCCTATTATACATACCATCCACTAGAACAGCGTTTTTGTGTTAGCTGATGAATCCACACTACCATGGCACCATAACCTAGAGTCCAGCATCTATAAGGGTTTGTGCTTGCTGTTGAGGCCCTGTGGATTAGAAAGAATAAATGATGTCAGATATCTACCACTCTAGGATCACAGAGCAGTGTCACTGCCCCAGAAGCCCTCAGGGCCTGCCTACTACAAATGACTTTGTCCCCAGAGAAGAGCAAGGAGCTGGCTGTCATTCTTTATCACATAATCATCACTACCAGATGTCAGTCTGGAGCCTTGCCCACGTGGATGTCCTTGCCACTGGAGTGTGATCACTCTGCTGTGGTGCACCATCTCAAACGTGTGGTCTCTGGTCCAAGAACCAATCCATGCATTATTCTACACAAAGCTATGCCATAACTTTGTGGGCTGAATAATTCTCGTCCCCATAGCATGTTAGATGAACATTTTTAGGGAATGGAACTCTCAAGTACTTCTGCCTAAGTTATTAACTTTGAAAGGCAATGAGGAATGAATGAGAATATGCCTTTAGGGCCCACTTGTCCTGTGGCACTGAGGATGTCAGTTGTGGTACATGCTTCAAGTGCAAACCAGTATGCTAGTTCTGCATGGGTTCCTCGCCAGGAACCAGGTCCCTTGGATCACATGGGCATCCTCTAGTCCCCTGTCTAGCCAGAGTGTTTTGCTCCTACATCATCCACCTTAGAGCTCCTACACATCTGCTTAGGGGCCAGTTGGAAATTCGGCTGTTTCACTTCTTTGATTTGTTCCTTAAAGCCCAGAATTTAGTCCTTTCTCTAACTAGGGGTCTGTTATAATAGTATTAGTTTCTTTTTTCAAATATATGCTCCATTTCTCTTCTTTCTCCTGCTGTTCCCATGTGGGGAATTTCCCAGTTCCCAAACAGCAAGCAGCTCATAGGGGAATAAAAGGTAGCACTGTTCCAAGTCCATTTTACCCTCTGTTTATTCACCTCAGGTAGGACATGGTAGTTATTACAGAGCTGGAGTTTCTCTCCAGCACTCTCAACTAAGAATCCAGGCGTATGGGATCCAAACCACAAATATTTCTGTTTTGATTACTGACTTCCCAGCATGATCCACAGAAGAGGGTGATGAGTTCTGTTCATCAGCAGAGGAAAGGCTGGCTCTTTAAGAGAGTAGGATTTGTGCACTAGGAGCAATCCCCTTTTGCAACTGGGAGAGCTGCTATCATCCAGAGTAACACTGCCCCATCCCCTCACCAGCAGCTGAACTGCTGTACCAGGGCAGACTTTAGGCTCCACTCCAAGCATTAAGCATAAGCCCTGGGCCACCCAGGCCCAGAGGCTGGGGGACAGACAGGTAAAAGATGAAGGGGCCAGTGTAGACACAGTATAAGGGCAGCCCAGGGACAAGGAAATGATGCTGAGGGAAAGAACTTAGGCAGAATTTGCCTTAGAGTTAAGAATTTACAAGTTTCTCCCCTAAAATAAGAGAAAGTTAACTAATCCACCAGCTACAAAATTAGCTTTCTCTTGCATCCCCATTCCCTTCCTTGTTTTAGTGTCATAGAAATCTGCCTTCCAACAGAAATGTTAGCAGAATAATCCCAGAAAGATAAATATCTGCCTTAGTCACTTAAATGTGAGAGACAGTCCCCAGCCCAGCTTTATCTGTGGCTGCTGTCCCACTCCATTTATACCAACCTAAATCCTTTATCCCCAGCGAACTCTTTCCCTGTCATTTTGCCTCACATGCTGGTCAACAAACAGGGATTTACAAGCCGAACAACACAGGGAGCTTGTCACAATGAGCTTGTATGGTAAGGACAGGGCACAAGCAAATAGAGGACCATGTGAAGGGTGACCTTTTTCAACTGGTGTGGATTGATGCTCGCATCAGTTTGGCCATGCAGGACTAATGTGACTGTCCCTGTTCTACTAAAAACATTATCACATTAATTCCCTGGCCTTGAAGCCAGCTGCTACTGCAGAGAGGCAGTGCTTATCACATGCTTGGGACTTCAGCCTTTGCCAAATGCTCTGTCTTCCCTGTCCCTTGGAGCGCTGTACAAACATTAATTAATGGTTCTCACACTGTCATGCAACGTCATTATCCTTTGATGATGAGACAGATAAGTCTCTTAAAACATCAACACCAACTAGGGTGAGACTGATTTCCTTTTGCCCCCAAAGCTGCACCTAGCCTCCTTAGCTGGAGTCATCTGCTTGGAATTCTTAAGCTTTCTCCTTTGGAAAATCCCCACACCAGTCTCTGTCCCCTCCACCACCATGATCTGCAATGAACCTAATGCCCCAGGGCCTCCCCTTGCTCTGAGATCCTGGTCTGATGCTCTGCTCGCTGTCCTGTAGGTGCCACCTCCAACTCCCTCTCTGCAGTCTCACACCCACCCTCCCGCCCCATCTGCCCTAGGGTCCTCTCCCAGAGCCAGAGCTGGGTTTTGTCTCAGACAGGCTTGGCCAGCTCCTTCTCTGCTCAGGTATGTATGCAAGCCAGTAATTACTGACCACACTGGCTGCTGGCTCTCTGTCTGGCACCCTTGTCCACCTCATCAGTCTCTCCTGATTGCTTAGATTCCTGTCCAAGCTTTCCCACTGTTCCCAGTCCATTTCTCAGCCTGGGCTCCAACCTCCCTCTCAGCCCCAAGGTACTACCTTTCGTCCTGAGCTGGGGCTCTCCCTGACAATGAGCTCAGCCATGCTCTCACGTCACCCATCTTCACCATGCTTTTGTTCCACTATATAGATTAAAAAATGACCTCACAACAGGCAGTTAGGTGGCTCAGGATCCCACAAACATACAAGGTCCACATCTCCGCTTAGAAATCCACAACTGTACGACCTCATTCAAAGACATGTTCACCTCCCCTTTCTTCCAGGAGTTTGAGAGATAATGAGGCAAGGTTTGGAGAAGACCTTGCAACAAAGCCAATAGGCAGAAAATCTTCCAAGAATTAAAAAGTAATTATTAGCATAAAGTAACAAATGAAGGCAAGGACAGTTGCTAAGAAAGAAAATGTTGGGCTCAAGTGACACACAGGTAGTCTGCAGAGAAGGCAGTAGGGGAAGTAGGCCGGGGATGCCTGTGGCTCTTAGGGATGGTGGAAAGAGGAGGAAAGGCTGCCTCTGAGGGAGTGCATTGTCCTCACCACTCCTGTCTATGAGGATCCACTTTCTCTCTGGGTTTCATTAGCAGTTACCTATTTGCTGCCTAAAATTTAGTCTTGTCTCCTCAACACAATTTAAGGCATTGTTTTACAAATAACCATGAAGGCTGATGTGGGAGGCAGCAAGGTACTCACATCCCTGTGGAACTCAGAACAGCACAGGGGCCTGGGAACATTTCATAAAGACCTGTAGCTCAACTCAGGCCTCCTTCCAAGCTCTGGACAAGTTATCGAAATAAATGTCTGACAGCATACATGATATAACTGGCTGCCTGAGTCCCCGTGTGACACTAGAACAAATGCCTGAGACCGAGTGACTGACAGAATGGAAATGTATTTTTCACATTTCTAGAGACTGGAAGTCAACAGCAAGATACCAGCACTGGGGTCTGGTGAGGCCTGCTCTCCACGTCTGAGATGACACTGTATTGAGGTGTCTCCAGAAAGGATCAGTGCTGTGCCCTCACGTGGGATTGGAGACGGAAGAAACAGATGGGGCTCTAGTCTTCGGCCTTCCTCACTGAGTCCCCTCCTACATCCGCCTCCCTGACGTTACCCACATTGGTGACCAAGTTTTGACATGAATTTTGGGGGACACATTCAGACTGCAGATGCAATTCAAAGGATAATTCAAAATGTAAAGCTCATTACAGTCACAAAAGATCAGCCTGCCTGTATGGACCTCCGCTCTCAGCCACGTGGCTTCCCAGACCCCAGACGCTCCCCCACCAACACACATTGTCCTCTGCTTCTGCTGACTCCACTCGTTCTCACTGATGTCCTGGGGTAAACTCCACATCCACCATGTACTTCTGACCCCCTGGTTCTGCTTCTAAGGACCCCGTTACCCCCAGCTTCTCGTCTCTACTGCCCACCTTTGTGTTCCACATCTTGGCTTATAACACTGTACATCTCATGCTCTGAGGACTGATGGGGGTTTTCTTACGCATTTCCATTGCAGCCAATCCCAACCTGACTCTCTTCCCCTGGGGCGGTGAACTCCTGAGGCAAGAAATGTATATTTTGTCCTTCAGGATGCATGAAGTCCCCTTGTCACACAGAGCAGCACTTTTCAAGTTTTTTTTTTTTTTATAGTCTAAGTTATCAATAAGCTCAGAAATTTTTGTTCAAAAAGGTCATTTCTATCAGTATCTATTTCATTCCAAGTTAAAACTGAGAATTTTACAGAGGCTTGGTGGTGCACAAATGTAATACCAGTACTCAGAAGGCTGAAGCAGGAGTTCAAGGCCAAACTGGGCTCAAGGTCAGCTTGCCCCACAAAGTGAGACTCTGACTTGAAAAAATAAACTAAACACACACACACAACTGAGAATTTTCCAAAATTTGCTCAAAAGTAACAATAATGAATCTATAACATAATGATAAGTAACATGCCTTTATGAAAACTAAATTTTCCAAAGGGAAAAATATGAGCATTTTTTAAAAGACACTTTTGCAAGTATCTTTTATGCTTGGCTTATAGGTAACTGTGTGGACCATACTCTCTCTCTCTCTCTCTTTTTTTTTTTTTTCGGGTACCAGGGATTTGGAACTCATGACCTTACACTTGCCAGGCAGGTGCTTAGATCACTGAGTTAAAGCCCATCATGGCTTGGCTTGGAGAAAAGATCTGTTCAGATGAACTTCCATGTTAATTCATTGTCATATCTTGCTTCAAATGATCCCAGAAGAGGAAAATATTTCAATACCTTTTTCTGGTAATTGCAGATATTTTTCTTAAAACACTCAAACTAGACAAGTGATAATTTCTTAAAGGCTAATTGCAACTCAGAATCTAAAATTACATCCATGAGTTTTTCACATTCACAATAAAATTCACAGGCCTGACTTGCACATTGCAGGAGTCATTTAGAAAGTTTCATCCACTGAGTTAAGCCGATTCCCAAATGCTGATGTATTTCCTACTGTATTAAAAATATTCCACATATTTCATACAATATTCAAAAGGCATATTACCATATGATCAATGGTTAATATTATCATAGATCTCATCAAAAGTCTTTTAAGTATTGAGAAACTATGAAACTCATAGTGATAAATATTCATTTTCTAAAATTCTAATTTGCACACAAAACCGCAAAGGTTGTCCTTGCCCAGAAATTTGCCTTCCTTGAAGAGTTAAGTTCATTTCACTTATTTTCTGGAAAATGCCAATCAAGCACTCAAGCCTTGATAACATAGTTTGCCAATCATTTGCTCTTCCCAGTAAGATCGTTGGTCTGTGGACAAAGTGTCCAGCTCCTCTTGCAAGTGGACAGTCCTCCGTGCTTCAGCACTGTGCAGAAGGGCTTGCTCTACACTTCCCATGTTATCATGGGAAGACTCCACAGTAGAAGTGGGATGGAGCTGATTTCCATTGCTTCTCATTCTTAAGTGGAACTGGCCATCTTTCCATTGTACCTGCTAAGCAGTGAGCATCTCATGAGATGTGGCAGGCTACTACTACTGCTTTGCACATCACAGCAAATGTCAACAGGCAGAAAAAGCAAATATGTTGTGCCATTTGTTATCATAGCCATGTTAAGAATGTAGTTGTACATTCAGCTTTGCATTTACAAGTAATATTACTGCAAAAATCACTTTTACTTTGCAGAGCTTGAAAAGGACCCTAGAGATCCCTAAGGAAGCACGGACCATACTTTGAGAACAAATGGGCTGCAGGATTTCCTGCCACTTCTTAGTGGAACTTCCCACACCCCTCACCATTTACCTTCTCTGTCTGTTTCTGGCTTAGCTCTCACTATACCTAACATTCTGTTTATCACATCGCATTAAAAAATAATAAATCAGGACTTTGAGGTCAGTCAGACCTCTAGCATAACACTATGCTCCTGGCGGTGTAATCTGGGGTAGCCAACCTTTACCAACCTCGGGGTTTTTTTTTTTTTTCACAGCAAAATGAGGGCAAGAATACTTAACACATAGTTGTGAAAATTAAATATCTAAGTGTACATAAATTTGTTCCTTTCATTTGTCCCAATTCTGGGTCAAAGGAACACTATGATGCTCTACTGCTCTATCACACAGTTTTGTCATCCCTCTGAGGACATTCCTAGCATGCCCAAATCACTTTTGAACTTCCTGCCTTTTTTCTGAAGGAAAAAGAAAGCCAGTCTTTTGAAAGGCTCATTTTTGCACATTTTGTGTAAAACCAAAAAGGATATGTCAGAATATCCTGTTTCAAATCAAATTTAAAAATAGCCAGGATATTGAATGACAAGTTCACCTATTTATTCTCTTTACGTACCAGATGATTTTTTTTGCCCTTTTAAAAGAAATGATTCTTTTAAAACTCTACATTTCCTATGAAAGTATAATGAAAAGAACAGTTCACATATTAATATCTTTTTTAATGTTAATGCTGAGTCAGAAAGAACTTCCTGGTATGTGAAAATTTTAAACTTACCTTTAAAAAATAGCTGGTGGGGCATGAGAGTTGAACTCAATGAGAAGTCTGAGGGTTTACATAGCAGCTTCTTTAAATCACCAGCCATGTCCAAATCCATCCTGAGCTGGGCTGCTACCACATGACTCTCTTGGTAGTATTTGTGCACTACATCATGACTGTGTAGACATGAAAGGGATCTTCTCTCTGCATCCTCATTTCTTTCTTCCACCCCACAGCAGGGCTTTGTGACATCAGAGTGCTTTGTGCAGTCACACTGGGCTCATTCCCTGCCAGCATCCAGTCTGTGGCCCAGCACGTCAGCCTGGACTTTGATCTCTAAAGCTGTGCCTGGCACCAGCCACTCTCCCCAGAGCTTTTGAAGTTATTCTAATCAGCATTTTTAATGTTTCATTTTTAAATTGTATAAACTGTTTAATTTCTTCTTTAATTTCATCTGTGACCTATTGGTTGTTCAGAAGGGTATTATTTAATTTCTATACGTTTATAAAGTTCTTGTGGTTTCTTTTGCCATTGATCACCAATTTCATTGCACTATGGTCTCATAACATACAGGGGATAATTTCAATTCCTTTACATTTATTTAATCATGTTTTATGAGGTAGCATGTGGTCTATTTTGGAGAACATCCCACATACGCCTGAGAAGAATGTGTATTCTGATATTGTGGAGTGGAACACTCTAAACATCTACTAAGTTCATTTGTTCAAAACTTTGGTTTAGTTCTAATATTTCATTGCTAATGTCTTACTTTTTATGCCTAAAGACATTATCACTGAATATGGTAATGTGTGCCTAAAATCAAGTTACTCCAGAGGCAAGGCAAGAAGATCACAATTTCAAGGCCAGCCCAGGTGACTTAGTGAAACCATTGTGGAAATAAAAAGGACTGGGGGTACAGCTCTGTTGCAGAGCACTCTTGGTCTGAACCCCCAGAACCACACATTTCTTTTTAAACCACGATTGAATTTTTGCACAGGTGATAAAGTCACTACTAGCTAATGTCTGTCCAACTCCCCAGCAGGTGACATTAATTAGTAGTTTCCAGTCTGGTAGAGATGTCACCAAGGGTGCCCAGCAAAGCTCATCTGGAAACTAAAGAACAAATGATTAAAAGAAACTAGGAAAGAGGGAGAGAGAAGGGGAGGTGGGCCGGCATGAGTCCTCTCTTCCTTAACAAAGGATAATTTCGTCTGAACTTCTCAGATAGTCCCTGACCTCCAAAGCCTCCTTTGCTGTGCTCAATGTCACCTTCAAGGATAAATCAGAGCCATCTTGAAATAGTGAAAGGGGAAGACTGTCAGTCTCACAGGTATCCAAACAAGTGTGGTCCCTAATCCAGGGCCAATCCATAACACAGACAGCTGTTACAATTATTTCTTAGTTTTGGTCAATAGCTGAAATACTCTTTGAAATAATTATGTTATTTTTAATATAATCCTCAAAAGTTACAGCAATCTCCAATTTCTTCCCATTCTTCCAATGAATCTGTTCTGCTAATGAGCCCCCTAGGTCCCCTGTGGAGGACGCAGGCCCGGAAGGTCTTGGCCAACTTGCCCTGAGTGGCTCTGGCTGCTCAGTCACGAGACTGAGGCTCAGAAAGCAGGGAGCCACAAGCGGCATCAAAGGCAGAGTCTTCCAATATGCTTCCTTTTATCTTTATCTTTTTATCTTTCCTTTTTGATTAATTTATACATTTGAAGATAATGTTTTGTACTGGTGGAGTGTGCAGCCCATGTGTGATTAGTGGCTGGAGGTTATTTTACTCTCCTGCAAAAATCTACACAGGGTCGCAGGGCCCAGCCACAGAGAAGCAGACCCACAGACAAGAATCGCACCCCGCTGGGTTCCCCAGACTGACCTTGTGGACCCGTGTGCTGAGCTGTTCCCGCAGAAGCAGGGCTCATTACTCTGCATGTTTCCACAGAGGGACCCCTTCAGTGTACTCTCAGGCTGATGTAGGTATAGCATTTATTACTCTGCCAAAATTCAGTGGCAACTGCAGGAGAGGTTAGCCTAATGTATAAGAAAGCTGGGAAAAAATAGGAGAAGGGCATTACTTTAGAACCTGGTTTTGGGCCGGGCTCAAAATGTGTAGCACAGTGCCTGGTTCAGAGGGGATCCTTATGAGATATTTAGGCTCGAGTGAACAGATTTGGAGCACATTAGACTTTTGCACACTCAATCTCCACACTTACAAATAAGAGGATTCAATCAAACAATTGTGGTGATGGTAAGAATGTTTCAAGATACCCACTTCTTTCAGTCATCTGATTTTGTATGCAATTAAAGGGAATCATAAACCACTAATTTAGAGTAACAGTAGTAATACCCATTTAATTTAATAAAAACCTGAATTATAAGTGTTTACAAGAAATGCAACTTTTTTGGGGGGGGTTTGTTTGTTTTTGCTTTTGTTTTTGTTTTTACCTTTCTTGCCTTGTTTTTTGAGGCAGAATCTTGCTATTGTAGCCCAGGCTATGTAATATAGACTGATCTCCAACTTGCCATCCTCCTGCCTCAGCCTCCCAAGTACTAAGATTATGTGGATATGGTATCAACTATTTTCTTTCTTTTTGAAAAAAATTCAGTAATGCAAAACAGACTGAGACACAGCTTAAAATGTCAGCAAAGTTTCTGGTACTATCTTCTCTTAAATGTGATGCATACCATACATTGCTGCATGGTTTGGGGTTGATCTCCTATGAAATGATTTGCAGTTTAGCTAGGTACTCCCTTTTGTTTCTCTTTCTAGAAGTATGTAGGGCTTTTGTATGTAATTTCTCTTCATTAGCCTCAGTTCAAGCTTGGAGAGAATCTGGGCATAGGAACTGTCAGCCCACACCTAGACAAACACACCAATGGTATAAGTCCCAGCCTGAACCATGATTCTAGTACATGCCAGGAGGCTAGTCTCAATGTTAGACTAGTCAGGCAACAGCTGTGGTACTGTTTGTGTTTCATTCCCTCTACTGAAGTCATTTCTGTTAAGAACACATCCAAAGCCATCCCACATTCAATGTTTTAGAAGGCTGGGAGCACATTGATGAGGTTCAGTGTTCAAAAGACCCCACAGCAGCATTGATGAGTTTCAGTGTTCAAAAGACCCCACTCGATGCCGGGACTTCATCATCATGATCCCAATAAGTTTCTTTGCACACACATGCAGAGCTCCATTCTGGAAACTTAACTGTCTCTGTATTTCCTTCCCAGAGAAACCATTCTCTTAAGTAATTTAAAACTCTCTATCTTCTGACAACTCATTCAAATATTTTCTTTGATTATTGCGGGATAGACATTCTGTATTATTACCACATCCTTTTCATTCTCTCCATTGCAACTATTAATGTATAAATCACAAAATGTGATGTTGTATTTTATCTTAATCCCCTTCTCCTTCACTAATACAGATGCTCTGTGCAGACTTTATTCCCTTAATGTGTAGCTGTCATCAGATGCACATTGTCAACTCCCAAGCATTGTTCAACCGTCAGCTGTTAACAATGGACAAGAGTGAGACAGCAGCCTAGAAAGGACACCCATCCCCCCAGTCTGTGATTCAGCACCTGGGGCACATTCATGCTGGGGAGCTGGAAAATTGCCCTGCTAAGCCCTTGGTCACTACAAGTGGCACTTCCACAGGTGTCAGTGTGTCTGGTTCCCAGTAAAACATCCTGTAAGTGCAGAGGCCCCACACAGTAACCTGGAGAATATGCAGGTACATGGTACTGGCCCCATTTCTCACCACTTGGGGAGATAGCCCATGGGAAGGGGTGTCCAGAAGGCTGCCACAATCCAGTTTCAAGTCTTCAGGCAGGCCTCTCAGGCACTCTTAGCACTCCCACAACACTTAGCAAATGATGTTTAGTCATGGGGTCATTCAAGTATTATTGCTCTGCATAGATTCAGAAGAATCATAAGAGCAACAGGTAATTTTTCATTATCACACACTAATTCAAAAACTGCCAGAGTTAATGCTAGCTGACTGAGATACATTAATAGAACATAGCTGATAGGTTAGATACATAAGTAGATATTTAATAGATTGATAAGTAATAGATATAGGTAGATGAAACTGATAGGGGAAGGAAAAAATACAGCTATTTTTTAGATAGCTAACAGATAAACATAGGCAGTTGAAAGCTGGTGTACATGTATATATAAAAAGAGATAATAGAGATAGATAATGGACGTAGAGAAGATAGACAGACAGACAGACGAGGCTGGGGCATGTGGTTTTGAGAAAGATGTATAATCTTCCATGGAGAAGCTTTTGTGGTAGGGGTGAGAGTGGGCATGTTTATGCACTAGCATTTTTGAAGGAAAGAGAGGAAAGAAGTGAGGAATGAAAGGAGAGAAAGAATGGGATTGAGAAGTGAGACTGCCTTTGTGTATCCAACTTCCTAAGCAGGTAGTATTGTAGACAACTAAGCTGAAAATGTCTGCTACTTCCCTGGGTCACAAGAGAGTTCACAGGCTCAGAAGGCAGAACTGTCACATCAGAGACTATTCTCCACAGACAGTCAACAACATCAACAGCACAGCAAATCAGGATGAGGAACCATGGCACAAGCCTAGAAACAGCCAATGGGGAGCTGTCACCACACAACTCTTAACCAGTGGACCTGGGGTCTCTGCTGGCCAACATACTTGGATCAGTATGAATGGGAAAGCATCTAAGTGCATCCCTGGGGTAAGGTCTCAAACCAGCTGTGGGGCACTGGCCATCCCGGCCAGCAAGCCAGCATGTCAGGTCCCAAGATTTGATGATTCCTCAGAGGTATGTGGATGTCAGCTCCCATAAGTTCAAATGACTGACATTAAATCCTTTCCTGAGAGTATCAAAAGACAAGTATTAAACAAAGACAAGTAAAGGCTTTGGAGCAGGTGCCCACAAATCTCCTGGCTGCTGTGGATGGTCACAAATTCATCTTTCAGGAGCTGAGCCCCAGGTAGGAGGCCATTCCTCTACACATTTAATATAGACAAATGTTCCTCCAAGTCGAGGAGAGGACACACCTGCAGTCTTCCCAGAGCATAGGCAGTAGCCAAGCGAATCCAGCCCAGTAATTGGAAGCCTGTAGTATTTCTACAAGTGCTGGCCTGGCCAGCTGGCATGTGCCCAACTCCTCACACTGAGGGTCCTGATACAGTGGAACATGGAACTACACACTTATCCAGTATTCCCGGCCCACCAATCCTTGGAGAATTCCTGTCATTCGAGACTGAGCCATTCTAGGTCTGAGTGAGTGCCCATCTTTTCTCAGAATTCAGCTGAGTCCTGTCCCTTGGCCAGGTTGGGTCTCTTAGGCACACACAATGAGAGGATGCTATGCATTTCCAGGCATTGATGGTCACCGCAGGGAGTTCCAAGCCACAGATTCTTACAAGAAGTGAGCAACTTCAAACTGAGCAGGCCTGCCCCCTCCCCACAACAGGAGGGGGACACCAGGTACCTCCTGTTACGACTGAGGAGTCCGTCTGGGTCACGTCTATACCTCCAAAAGTCAGGCCTCATTGTTTAGTTTTCTGCGGGGGCATCAATGGAGACAACCATCAATGGCTTCCAGGAAATTCCTCATAGGTCAACTGAGGAGTTTTTCTTTTTATCTGCTTGCATGGTTCTGAAATGCAGTAATTACAAATGAGGTGGAGATAACCTACAAGAATAATGGGGAAGGAAAGTAGGCACTCAATCCTCCCAACACCCCCCCCTCTCCGTATGCAGCACTGAGCACACTAGGATCCTGCAGGGGAATATGAGACCAAATGAGCTTGCCCAGCAGGAAGCACAGCGGATTTCCTCTGGCACACTTCTTTTTTATCACTCGCTCCAACTCAAGAAAATGAACTTTTTTTTTTCTTGAAAATGAACTTTTGAGGGATTAAAAAATGTATGTGCCTCTCATTAGTTAATAGCTATTATCATCCTGGTAAGAGGGGTGGAGGGGAAGATGAGGAAACTAGGACCATTTTGCATTAAGCACCTGCTTCTTTCCAGTTTTTTGCACATGTTGTTCCACCAAACCCTCCTCACTGGAGGTGTCATCCTCATCTTACAAGGTAATTGCGAAGTTGTCCCAGGGAGCACGTTACCAGTTGATCCACTGGTTCAGCCCCAGGTGCTGCATCCAGGCCTCAGGCTTCGTGCTGGTTTTGCTCTGGATCTTACCATTCTTATGTGGCTCAAGGCCATGGGTAGCTTCTCCTAGGTCCATTTCCTAGGAAGGGCAGTGCTTCTGATTTGTAGCTCCTTCACCTGTTGCCCCTTTCCAAGTTCTAGAATGCTGTTACCAAGGAAACCAACACATCACAGATTCTTGTGAGGCATGGTGTTATGATCAGCAAGATGTGGGTCTTTAGGCTTCTGACAGGCACTAGAGTAACAGTTCTGGGTGTCCACATAAGTCACAGCACAGGTTTGCCCCATGGGTACACATCCATGAGGTGGCATCTCTAGGATGAATTCAGAAAGACAACGCTACACTAAATATATATATATATATATATATATATATATATATATATATATACATATATGTCAAGTTTGCACACATTTCCTTGTTATTAAAGAGAAAAATAAGGGGCTGAGGATTTAGGTTAGTGGCATAAGTGCCTGCTTTGCAAGTGCATGGTCGCGAGTTCGATCCCTGGTACCATAAAAAAAATAAATAAAATAAAAATTTTAAAAGTGGTCTGTAGTAATGGTGCCTGGGCTGTGCCACACATACCAGAAAAAAAAAGGGGGGGGTGATCTTTGCTCTATAATTAAAAGTAGAGCCCTTAAGCTATTCTGGAAATTTCTAGAAATATCAAAGAATATCAACCCTGACAGACATTTCAGAAGCTTTTTGTTTTCCAAGTGATTGTAACATGGTGGTGATATAATCCATGAGAGGATTGCAGTACATGATGGAGACCTCCACAAAACAACATGTCTCTCAGAATGGCTTGGGATATTTCAGTCCTTAGAGAAAGTTACCATGAAGTGAAGGATAGGGCCTGTGGTAAGAGGTATCTGGTAAAGAAACCAGTATGGCCAGTCTGAATTGGTAAGTGTTCTAAGACTGAACAATTCATCTGACTTCAGGGCTTCTTTGGAAAAGGAGAATGTAAACTCATTCGTTAATAATTTTTTATTAAATAAATATTGGAACTATAATATTTTGAGTATACTGGATTAAATATGATTTATGATTACAACTGATTTCATTTGTCTCTTTTTATTTTTTAAGTTCACTAAAGAAAAACTAAAGTCACATACCTCATATGACTCTTTCTATTGGAGAACGCTGATTGGTCTTTACCACATCAAAATAGCTTGTGATTTTAGTCAAATTGTTTATTTAACATCATGTTTTAAGAAACACTCTATTTTTCTGAAGGTAATAAATATTTTTAATGGAAATATATCAATTATCATATTTTATTTGGCCACAGAATAGAAGGCCAGGAGTTGGCTTTAATGGCCTCCAATCTCTCCTATGATATATTGTCCTGTGATAGTAAACTTGGTGAAATTCCAAGATGCTCCTCAATTACAAACCAAAGGATCAAGTCATCTAAACAGAAATCACCTGGCTTCTGTAAGAGACAGCTATAAGAAGCAAACACTACTGTTCCTATACCTATGTTCCTAACCACCTCCCATGAGGACTGAGTTTCAGATTCCAAGCCCCTGCTACACTATTTAGAGCTCTGCAAGCTTATCACAAGGTGGAGACAGCAATGGACTTTCATCAGTGATAACAAGTCACATCGATGAAAAAAAAATACAAAGATACTCTATAAAATGCAGACTGCCAAGTGCTGGGGGGTTTTCCCTTCAATAGAAATTTATGGAAGTGGTATTAACTAATAATAAAATAATTTATCGAATTTCTCCATTTAATTATGGAGAAACTTTCTGAGATTAAATGAAATGTCCAAATATTGTAACTTTTTTTTTTTTTTTTTGTGGTGTTGGGGATTGAAACCAAGGTTTTGTGCCTTATCCCCAACCCTGCAACTTTTTTTTTTAGTTCCACTTTTATCTCAATGTGAAATAGAACCCATAATTAACATTTGTGTTTTGGAAGTTCATCTTCGATGATAAGGCTATTAATTTATGTCAAGTCCTGAGTGTGTCTGTAAAGGTACAATTTTCAGTCTTCACCCTTTGCTTGTCCAAATCAACCAGTGTGTAAATTTATGAGGAGAGTGATTTGAATTAATTATGAGGCTATTTTTTCATCTATGGAATGTGCTACATCAAGTTCTACTCCTTTTCTTGGTGACTCAGTCCTGATGTAGGTTTTAACCTGCAAACCTCCCTGATGTCCCTATCATACAGGATGTTGTTGCGCATGCATGGTGATGGCATGACAAGTCCTTTGGGTACCAGCCACAGTGGCTTCCTCTGTATGATCACACTTCCAGTGCATGGGCTCATCCTCTCTCCCAGCTCAGGGATGCAAGCAGAAGATGGAGCTTATGGGGCTCACCTTGTTCCTCGGAGCCTCCATGCCCTGACTACCCATCCCGTGTTTGTGGCTGTGCTGTAGCTAAGACATCAGCTCCTAATCAACACTCATGGGTCTCTCCCTCTACTTCCCTGAGAGTGCCTCATTGTGGTACATGTACAACAGAAGAAAGGAGCAGACCACTGATGGACATGGGAGCAGGAAGTCACAGTTAAGATATACTGGCTTTCCTAATTTCCAGCCCATGTTCCATCAAATCAACCAATACAGATTTCCAAGTATAGAGCAGATGTGACAAGATGCTTAGTGTTATGCTAAGAACCGTGGGGCATGAGGAGGAAAGAATGGAGCTGTTCTTGAAAAGCTTGATTCTAGAGCAGGAAAGACCTGCCAGAAGAAACAGTGAGTAAAATCAGAGGAAAGGAAGACCACTGCAGGATGGGTGGTCATAGGCACTCCCACCTTAGCACCCTCATCCCCATCTTGCAGGAGGTTGGAGGAGGAGACCAGGCACTCCCACCTTAACCATCCTCATCCTCTTGCAGGTGGTTGGCCTAGGGTCAGGGCAGGGCTCAACAGGGTCCTCTGCCAATGCATACAGGAAAATTAAAAGACAGAACTATGCTCTTCAAATGGGTCCATTTGCCCTTAAAATTAAATTATTGTGTAACAAGCTAAACCATGTTTAAAATTCTGCAAGTCCTGCCTTTACCTCTCCTCTGGCCAGGAATCTTTTCCATGGCCATTACTGGGTGAGATACCTGCAAAGCCTCGGACTCCTACCTTCTTTTCACTTCCTCCTTCCCACTTCAGAATTTCTCCAAAATCAACTCACAATTCCTGTTATTTCTTCTCTTTACTTACCCTACTTCCCATTTGCATTTTAAAGGCTGAGCTCTGACTTCCTGCCAGCCAGTAAAAAAAGAAAAGAAAAGAAAAAAAAAAATCTACCAAAACTGACACCAGGAGAGAAACTGTTCTTGGTGGGTGATTCACCCCGCCCCTGCCCTGCGCCCCACCCCACCACGAGTAACACTAAGAGTTACCTCACCTTACAATCTCTTTAATTCCAGGAAGATGCTTCTTCTATGTTTTTTCCTGCATCTCTTCTGTGGAGTTCTCTCCTTTTGTCTGCCCTTTAAATGTTGAATTTTCCCCCAAATTCATCTGTAATCTTCCTTTAATTCCACAGAAGCTACAATGCACACGCATGGTAACTTGTTGGCTAGGGCACCACTGTTTCAAACACCTGCCTTGCCGTCTTCATCTCTCTTCCAGCAAACTGATTTTCCTGTCACCAGCCTGGAATGTGCACCTAGTGCAGAGTACAGTGGGAGACAGGACCAGAAAGGCAGCAGGAAAAAGAGACAATCAAGGCATTGGAAATGTTCCAAATACTGCAGCCAGGAGGGCTGTGGAAGAGGACGGTAGACAGAGATGCAAGGTTTTCAGAAGCTCTGCAGGGATGTTGTTGTCTTCATGATGTCCAAGAAACATAAAGACTTGAGCATTCTCAGAGTCTTCCTATCCTGGGCTTGGCTCTGGAAATTAGATGGAGAAAGAGTTCAGGAGCACACACCCACGTTCCTGGCTGTAGTTTCTGTTCTCCCTGCCTGGCAGAAGTTCTCCCAGACACCCCAAAAAGCAAGTTAAATCTGCTGCACCCCAAAAATCACCCCTGGTTTCCTTAGCTTCAACAGAGATCATCCTCATTTTTTTTTTATCTTTGTTTATGGTACTATCCATTACTGATGGCCACAGTCAAGAGTCCATTCTGACTCTGTCTGCAAATTTGTCCATTTTTTCCTCCTCTAGGTGGTAACCACGACAGCTATCAGGGTCTCAACAGGACAAAGTGCCTACCACAAAGAGTTTAACTTTGAGTGTTGCAGGGGGTAAGGTGCTATGCTGGAGCAGGCAGGGCCAAAAGGTCTCAAAAAGAGGGTAAGATGTCCTCTGACCCTATTCTTTGAAAAACTCTAGAGCAAACAAATCTGTAAGGACAGACAGTAGATTGGTGAGTTCCTAAAACTGGAGGGATTTGAGGGTGGAGAGTGACTGCTAAGGGGTGTAGGAGTTCCCCTTTCAATAATGAAAATGTTCTAAAATTGATTATAGTGATAGTTAATGGCTGCATAGCTCTGCGAATCTGCCAGAAACCATTGCATGACACACTTCAAGTGTCTATAAAGTTTGTGAATCGAATCTCAATAAACTTGTTATGTAATATCTTTTAAAAGGAGCATCCTGGAGCCAGCAATAATTGAAGCTGAGAGCCATTACCAGTGGTAGCACTGAAGACTTGAGGGACCAGTGGTCCTGGAACCCAAGAGAGGGCTCCTGGGGCAGCTAACAAGAGGAGGCTGCTGAAGTCAAACCTCAGAAAGGCAAGGAGCAGCTAAGGACAGGCCCTGCACTTCCTGACTCTGCCCTCTGTTCCTGACCTACACTGCCTACCACTGAGATTCCTCAGAAGTGAGGCCAGGCTGCTGCGCACTGAGCTGGCAGTGCAGGCGAGAGGGGGGGTCTGGCCCACAGCCTGATGGAACCAGTTGGACTCTCCCAGCTGCCTCGCCCTTTCTCAGCCACCGCCACCTTCATGGGGCCCTTTGTCAGTTCTTGCTCCAAGAACAATAAAAACCTGGGGCCAGGGTCTTAGCAAGACAGTGTCCCCTTTCTTAGTGGCCACGGGGGACTGAAGTAGGCAGCACAGGGGTCCAAGTGACCAGCTACCCACGCCCAATTTTTAAAAGCAAGCAACCAATAAAATAATAACAATAAAAGTAAAACGCTTAGACAATCCACATGGCACAAATCAAAGGAACATTTCTATAAACTATGGCCACTATCTCACCCTCTAGCCGAGGTAAAGAGTCATTGGGCTGAGTCAGGGCTGTGAAGACAGAATCTGAGGCCAGTGGACTCTCTAAATGTGTCAGAGCCAGGCGCTCTGGGGTAAACATGAAGGGGTCAAGGAGGTTCGAGATTAAGGGAAGGAGCACTGCAAACACAATGCTGACAGTGTTTAATAGAGTCCTCAGAGCTTTATCCCAAACATTTGGTTTCTTCCTTTTACCCTCAAAGTTGGAACTAGTCGCCTCTAGTTGAACTTTGTTCACTACTCCTGGTTTGTCCTCATAGTCTTCACCACAACCCCAGTGTGGATCCATTTCATGCCATTCTTGGAGCCATCTGTCCACCCAGAGGAGAACGAGAAAAAAGTGGGTAGAGGTCTATGAGACCAGAAAGGTGTGGAGGGCACTACAGCGGCTTCTTTAGGGAGGGCCTGAGTCTGTGTGGGAGTCTCATCCTGGGTCCTTGGCAGTGCTGGCTGCCATGGGGCCAATCCTCTTAGTGTTAGCCCCAATCCTTGGGGGTGTCAGGGCTGTAGGGTCCTCTGCATCCTTCAGTCACTTACTGTTCATCTTAGTGAGCTTGTCTCAATTCTTGCTTAGTGCCAAAAAGAGAAGCAGTCAGGGAAGAGTTTCTCAAACATAAACCTGTCCTGTCCTGGTCACATCTCAGAGCATAGCCTAAGGCCAAGTGTGTAGGGAGGTAGGTCTGTGGTGAATGAGGAGGCAGGCAATATACCCTCCATAGGTCACACACATCAAAAAGTAGATCCCTTCAGTCTTAGGAAACAACCAGGTCACATTTTGTGAATGTGGCTGTAGTATAGTAAATTCTTTGGAATAGCAAGGAACGAAAATCATCAGAAACCAAGTGACCCAAGAGATTTCAAATGAGCTGGATGTTTACCTGGCTCCATCCACCTCTGTCAGACCTAGGCAGCACGGTCTACCACATTCTCTCATAAAAGGTACAGAATTCTTTACTTTTGTGTTTTTGTTGTCTTTTCTCCAACAGTCACACACAAATATGATAAATAGAAGAAGATACAGGGACAAGTGCTGTTGACTGGGATATTTGTTTCAGAATAAAAAGGAAAGGCAGATGGTTTTTCCAACACGGAAGACTACATGTGAGAACGTCTCTTCAAGGAGTGGCACTCAAGAGGAAAAAACCAGGAAAAACTTTATAAAGACATTTTTTTCAAGCAAACTAAATATCCTGTGGAACTTGGTGGTTTGGATGCTTTCCTTAAACAGAAGGTCTAATAAGATGATTTAGCAAAGAAATGCTATTTTAATCTCCCAGTGAAACTTTTACAAGAAGCTCTACTAAGAGTTTTTTAAGTAGTATAAATTCCAATATGGTGGTCAGCTTGCTGTGTACAATCAGTATTCAGTATGGGCAAATGATACTCATCAGGACAGACACTAGCAGGCCAGGAAGCAACTGTACAGAATAGGAGGAGTCTGCCCTTCCTTTAAAGAGGAACTGAAACAGAAGGAAACACTACAGTATTATGGAATTTTAAGCAGAACTTAAGATTGATAAATTAAGCATGAACATCAATTCATGGAGCAATAGCCCTTATTCTGTGGTATCTATTTGCTTTTAAACATTTTCTGTACTATATAAAGGTCGTTTGACTGATGACATTTTCAGTGTGCACTGACACCAGACTCTCAGGTACTTACCCAAAAGTGAAATGGGGAAGTATCCGAAGAGCTCACTTGAAAGGAGAGAAAAATGTTGGAAAATGTATTTACTTTTCATCAGTCTGTTTGCTGTGTAGATAGAATCACAATATGGCATTTGATTGTAATTACAAATACTGGCTGAAATGTTGGGCGGGTATTAATGATGTGTTGACAAATACTGACCCATACTACCTGCTGAGCATGGAAGCCCTTTTTGACTCTTAGTGTCAGAGGAAGGAATTCTGTTTTGGGGATGACTGCCATTTGCCAAAGTGCCCACCTCACAGTCCCTCTGAGAGCTGGGGTTTGAGACTCTTGAATTTCCAAGTGAGCACCTGTAGGCTCACAATACCCATGTAGGCAGCTGACCTGCAGGCTCACAATGCACAGGTAGGCAGCTGACCTAAGCCCCCCAGATCAGGAACAAGGACTTCCATGCTCAGCAGGCACTGTGGGTTTCGTGTTTGCCCCAATACCACTCTTACCAAGCCCTATGGGAGTGACACAGTATGTCCCAGGGGGCTGCTTCACATACGGTGGGTCAGTGTGACAGCTGTGCCCAATTGGGCATCTCCAGTCGCTCGTAATGGGCTGCAAGCAAATTTGACCCTCTTCCCAAAAACTTGACCCTTGTCTAGTCCAAGGCTGTGTACCCCACCACTAGTCCTGGAAAACAGTCTACGACAAAAACTCGCAGCATGTGCAGCAAGTAAGAGAATCACAGAGAATTCTCTCCTAACGGTGGACAACTACTTAGTACAGATTAATAAATTAAACAGCTGAGAAGACAATCAACCTGCTCAAGATCAGAAACTATTAAAATGAGAAATTCAAATCTAAGTGGATCCGACTCCAGAGCTCTGTACTGTGAAGAGGATTAGCACTGGACTTGATTAATCACCTGGTAAAAGGCATCATTTCCACAACCCCTGACTTTATCTCACAAGTACTTCCCATATGCAGAACAAGAGATTCAAGAAACCAGTCTGCAGAGTGGAGGGTATTCCTTCCAGTGTGTTTGGCTCTGACCTTGGGGTGCAGAGTTGGGCAGGAGCCCCCACTTGTCCAGACCAGGCCACTTGATATGCAAAGTATAAAGCACTTGAATTTGGGTACAATGTGAGATATTTCTTGTATGCCCAATATTATAGTCATAATTTTTTATAATTTATAATTCAGTTAGAACATAAGTTAGGTTCTGAACAAATTGTAAGTTACTGGTTTTGTGTATTTCTGTAGGTATTTCCTACCCGAAAATACTTTTTGTAAAAAAAATTAAATTAAATTTAGACTACAGTTTACTTCTAAATATAGAAAAAGATTTACACACTTGAAATGTATGGTTTTATCCTCATTGTTGATTACCTATTTACTTCAAAAGTATTTATATCATATGTGTCATTTATTTTCAAGGGGAGAAGCAAAAGTTCTAAAATTAAATAACTACAAAGAACCTAAAAGAAAAAAGTAACCACATTTTTGTCTACATCTAACCACTTCAGGAAGTAGAAACCACAACAGGAAACCATTCTGACCAAGCGTGTGACATCTGCTGTATCTAACTTGGCCTAGGTTGCGTGTTGCTCACTGGCTTACTGAGCTGTAGTTAACACTGATAAACAGTGCACAGGTTGGAGGGGGCTACATGCTAAATTTAGCCTGAATGTGCATGCATGAAGATATCAGGACAATGGTACAATGCTTCCTAGTCCTTTGGGAACCCCACCACCACTCTGGATACGTGTTTTTAAGTATTTTTCTCCCTGCTAAACAAGAATTGGGATAGCTCAAAAGAATTTAGACATAAAGATTTCTAAATTATAGCTTCTGAGCTTAGCTGGGAAGTTTTACATTAGTAATTCTGATAGCAAAGGAAGATAACTATACTTACATGCACTTTATAAGTATATATCTGCAATACATAAGGATTACATTCATTGTAAGAAGTTGGCTGACACGTCTTCTTTTTATATCCTCTTCCCCTTCCCTCCACC